AAGGCTCCTTCACCTCTCCCTACCCAGTTGCCACCATGGGGGTGGAGAGGATTATTAAAGAGCACTGGAATTTTTTGGTGGGGGTGGGGTTGGGAGAGGGGGTGTCACATAAGGTTATAAATATCAGCAGTTGATTTCAGGCTGAGAACAACTGAGACTATCTCCTCTTAAAGGCACAGCATAAGGAAGCTTCCTGAAGTATTTCCACAAAGGCCGTTCTGCTTCTCTTTAGCAGTGCAGCATCAACCAAACACCTGCATTAACAACTGTATGCAAAATAAACCACAGATGCCAGGGAGGGGTTAGACTGCACACAGACCAGCACCAGCAAAGACAAAGCCTGCCGGGCTTGTCCTAAGGAAGGCTGACTTAGAGGCCGTTGTTGCTATCCCGCGGTCACAATCAGATTTCCAGAAGGCAGCTTGCTATATAAACATTTAACTTCACCCCTGAGCACCTTTTCAACTGAATCTTGTTTCCACATGTACCGTAGGAGGAGATTCTGTCTCCCAGGGGGTACGTAACAATGCTGGCGAGTGTTGGTCCCAACAGGAAGGTCTTCCAGTCACTGCATCCCGAGGCCAGGGCATTGCCAAGGCAGGATCGGGGTGCCGTGGAATCCTACCGTGACAGTCTCCCTCCCCATGGAAGAATCCTCCAGCCCCAGATGTTGAGTGCTAAGGCTGAAAAGCCCTGTTCTAGATTATTCTCTTTACTTGGACCCTATTAGCTCCTACTGGAGTCCATTTGCTTAAGAAAAAACCAAGACAGGCTGGGGCGGGTTGAGGGGGTGGGGGGTAGGATTTATTCTGCCTCTTGGCTGCTGTAAGGCTGGAGATACCAGCCAGGTGACAGACGGGTCATGCCAAGTGTGATTTCCTTTCTCTCCAAGGACATGCAGACAGTACTGCCTGTATTTGCTTTATTCTCTAGTGAATCTAACTGGCAAAAATGTAGATGAGTGATACCCTCTTTGTAATTATTTGAAAGGAAGGCGGAAGTATTTTTGTGTAAACTGGCAGTCTTTCAGCCCTCTCTTCCAAGGGCTTTTACATGTGCTCATGAGGAAAGCCTCAGTGAGCTTTCCATAAGGCAAAAAATAATTCAAATGATGGGGTTTCCGGGCTTTCTTGCTCTGATGTCACAGTAGGCTCTCCAGGCCTCAGTGCTGCTCAGCCTAAGCTGGGAGCAGGAGCTGTCCTGGGGAAGCTGCTGCCTCACCTGGCCAGTCAGCCTGGCCTCAAAGACAAGGGAGGACAAGCTGACTGGCCAGCACACACCAAGTGAAGTGAGCCTCTGTGAAAAATCCAGGGACCTGAAAAGGCTTCCATTTCTCCCACTCGTCATTTCTGGTCATGGTGGGGAGAGAGCCCAGCCTGAGGCCTGAGGACGCACAAACATAAATGCACATGAAGAGAGCATGTGAGGACGTGCTTCTTGATACTGTTCACCAGACTGGCGCCCAAACCACCTCGTGCTTTCTGACTGAGGGGCCAGCACGGTTCCTGTGGGGGGAGGCTTGAGACTTAGAATGATCTTGACTTTTGACTATAAAAGCCACACAGGGAATTTCAGAATAGGAAAAACCCTTTGTTATCATCACATCGAGCAGATTTCTTCTCCAAATTTCACATCTTTTTCTACCCTCTCCAGGTAGGCCACCCTGGGGGAATTATTTGGCTGAAGTGTCAGTGCACTAAAGGTCTCTCCTCCGTGTTAGAATCCTGTTCTGTACATATACTTTCTTTTCCTCGATAACCAGAACTCTCTTGTTCTTGTCAGGAAAACGGAATTTCCTGAAGAGATTAGCCAAGGTCTTTTCCTTCCAGTTTTCTGAAAATGTGCTCTAAGGTCTCACTTGTGATTTCTGGCATGGCTTCTTGTTTTCTACTTCCAACAGAGAGCTGAACCTCTTAGTCAAGGACCTACCCAGGATGGTTCGCGGTCTCTGCCTATTAGAATGGAAGAGACTTACCTGCATTCTCATTTGCCAGGTCCTTCCTGGCTGACCGGAGTCTATCAATTATTCAGGAGCAATTGCAGGAAAAGCCTTTCTCAGGAATAGTAACCTACAGTTTTTCACGTTGATTTAAGGAGGAAATAACTTTCTACATGGACAAAGTGCCCTCTCTGCGTTTGCCAGCAATACTGCAGTCCCAAGTAAGCCTGGGGTTCTCCACAGACAGGCCTCTTCTGTCTGTTCTGCTCCCTGGGGTGTGTGTGCATGTGTGTGTGTGTGTGGTGGGGGTCACTAGGTCAAAGCTAAGCTTACCATTCTGCTATAGAAATTCATATCTGTTTCTCTTAAGCAGATTCTGTGCTGAGATTGCTCCCTTTACAAAAGGAAAGCCCTGGAAACGTAGAGCCAATGGCTGTTTTTCAATATTTATCTCCATCTCTGTTTCTTCCTTTTTAAACACAACTTGACCTGAAAGCAGAGCCACAATTCATGGCTCTGGTCTGCTGCTGTGAGGGAAGATGAAGCCATTGCCCAACTACTCGGCACATTAGCCTTGGAGCTCAGTGCTCATTCATGAAAATGACTCAGTCCTCAGAATGGATCCAAAAAGATGTTCCCTTTAATCATCCTCTAGGCGACTTGTGGGGCTGCACAGGGCACTTCCCCCTCATCTTTCACTTCCCATGAGCTCTGCATGAGCTAAGCCAGGGACATATTCCTCCCCTCCGGTCCAAAGGCCACAGGCACAAGGCTTCTGGATTTGCATCACCAACTTGAGGAGGGACACTTACCATTTTACTCCAACCACATACTGACTTAATGGTGGGTCAACATGGGGTGCTTTCCCACTGTTCCCTCTCCCTCTCTTCTAGCCTTGACTTGTCCCTGGAGGTAAACCCACTGCAGATGCTCGGCTAGCCAGCGTTTGGTGCCAGCCCTCACGTCCAGAGAAACAACCCACTGTAACTAGCAACTAAGCAGCTACTGAAGTCTGAACACAATCTAGGATATCAGTAAAACACAGCGATGTCCAGTAATTTCTTGATATCATCCAGACACATCAAAATTCACAATGTCTCTTGAAACCAAAGATTAAATGAAAAGGAAATGATTACTTGCCCTTGAACCCAAACACCATTTACGCTTGTCCTTGGACTCTTTTTTAATATTCTAGTTTGTATTTAACACAATGTTAATAGGCTTGATCACTTCATTTTCTAGCTTGCTGAAGGTCAGAAAGAAGGGTTAGACCCAGTGACAGCAGTAACAAATACACCCCCCAGCTACCTGGACACGCGGCCCATCCAACCTGCACAATACAGAAGCCCTAAACAAGAACTTCTATGCAGAACTCAAAACTCAACCCGCATAGCAGTTTAGGGCCATCTAATACAAAGCAGCTCCAAATGTCCCCAACACCCTTGCAGATACCAGCACCAGCGAACAGCATAACCTTTTCAGGGGTGTTAACCTGCACTCACACTTCTGGAGAGCAAAAACTTATACACAGTGTAGTGCAGAGAAAATCAGGCAAACAAGATTTTAAATAAATTCCTTATCAACCAGAATCTACTGATGAAACTATTCTGGAATCTAAAGGGAAAAGCTCCAATTTTCTGAGAAAATTCATTCAGTTGGGTAGACAATTAATTCTAAGTAACATGACTCAAGTAAAGTGGGTAAATGAAGCATGACTGCAAAGAGTCTGCTTCTGAGACACTTACAGTGGAAGAGGAAAGAGGAGCATATGCCAGAAAGAGGGAAGACCCAGGCACTGGAGCGGGGAAACCACGAGGCCTCGTGGGTCAGAACTCTCCTTCCCTACCCTTCCGCATCTGGGTGCCTCCAGAAACCCAAATGCGATGATTTGGTGGATCTAAGTCAACTTAGACTAACTTGCGCTTAGACTAACTTAGACATGATAAAGGGGCCTGCAGCTCATGCCCCACTTCAGTGTTGAGCATCTGTAGGAGAAAGGGCCCTTTGGATACTGCCATTGTTCTGCACCTGCTCACATGATTCTGACCTGGTGACGGTGCCATGTCCCCATCCGTGTTAACAGTAAAAATCTTGAGAGGTGAGAGCTCTGGGCAAACAAATTAACTGATGTGTGGAATACTAACTGTGTAAATGGGAATAATTAATGCTAGTGATGGAACTAAGGCGTTCTAGATCTAGTTCACGCACCAAGAAGAAAACAGCAGCAGAGAAACTTATAGCAGTAGGCGGAGGCACTTTTAGGCATTTACAACAGAGGAAACTCTTGGGGCAAAAGGCTCACACACTGAGAGCCAAGACCCAACAGACAGGCCTAAGAGCTGAGTCCCTGGCCCAGCAAATTCCCTCTTTTGAGTCAACTCCTCTCATTTCCCCCTGTTGTTCTAATTTAGACTCACAAAATCTCAGGAGTAGAAAGTCTGACTCAGGCAAGGAATCAAAAACAATTTTGCAATTAAGGCAATGCTTCTCAAATTCCTATACAGGTAGAGAACTCGTACCCTCCAAGTGTCAGGGGTGTAGCCTTGCTACAAGCGGAACATTTCTTCAGAGTGTTTGTCTGTACACCTTAACTCATGAGCATTTTGCACTTTATCTCATAATACACCAATAAAACATAAACAATTTCCCCTTGGGATCTTCACTTCAGGAAGATGAGCTCATGTTTATCTTAGGGCTTCTCATACCTCCATGTGAAAAACAGGGACCTGAAGTAACATTCACTGCTGTTAAGTGACCAGTTAATTTGATAATTCAAGGAAGCACAGAGGAGATTCTCAGAGAAAGGCTCGGACATTACTTTCCATACCCTTACTTGGTTATAAATACTAAAATAAACTACAATAGAAAAATGTTCAAACCACTGGCTCAGAATTCTGTTCAAGAGACTGTTTAGTTTCCAAACGCTGCCCCAGTGGTGATGGAAGTGAGGAGAATGAAACCAGGGAAAGAAATGTAGAGGTCCACTCTATCAGTTTCCAAGTTACAAGAAAAATACATATATTAAGACAGAAAAAAGAAGAAGACATCATGGGAGACTTACCTTAAAATCTGCCAGTTGTTGGTTGATGATGTCCACTTCGGTACCCACTACCCACTGGAGGGCTTCGCTCTCCTCGGCTGCCGTGGTCATGTCATTGAGTCCTTTCAGCTTCCTATAGAAGTCCTCCACCCGGTCCAGGGTCAGCTCCAGCTGTTCCTGGCGAGCTTTACTCCTCTCTGTCAGTTTGCCGCACTGTTTGTTCAGGGCTTCTAGCTCCCTCTTGAGACCTAACAAGTCCAGAGTCCCCTCTTCCTCCAGCATTTGTCGGCATTCTGCTTCAGAGGCTTCTATGTCAGACCTGAGGGCTTGGATTTTGTTGAGGAACAGCCGTACATCCTCAATTTGGGACTGGAGGCTGTCGGTGTCTCTGCCAATAGCACCCATGCCATCGAGCTCATCGTCCAGGTCGGCCAACTGAGAAAACATCTCCCGGACTCGGCAGTGAAACTGCCCAATCCCCTCCAGCTTGTTTTCCATTGCCATGCAACTAGTGTTCACTCTTTCTTTCACTTCTAAGAACTCCTGCTGGGTGACCTTGGCCTGCTGTAAAAGTTGGGAAGCATCAGATCCATCCGGGGCGTCTTCCACCAGGCCCTGAGTGAAGTTCCTCAGGTAGTCTACCTGAGGCTCCAGGGCCTGCAGCACTTCCTGCTGAGCACGCAGCTTCTCCAGGTTCTTGTTGCTACAGGCTTGAGAACCTAGTGCATCAAAGATCTCAAGTTGGTGTTTGGCCCCTTCAACCTTCTTTTCAATATTCTTAAAGCTTTCCTGGAACTCCTTGAGCCTCTGGGTCATCTCTTCAAGGGACCCTGTTCTGGCCTGTAGCTCTTCTGTAATGGAATCCATGTTCTGGTTGATCCCGGCCTTTTCATCCCGGATATCATCCTCATCTGTTTCTGAGGAATTGATCAGAATGTCAGCAGCGCTGTTCAGTATTTCCAGGAGGGAGCGGCGTTTTTCCACTTCACTCAGCATAGCTTTTGACCTCAGGAGATTGGTCTCCAGCTGCACTGGGTCCAGAGTGACCCGCAAATCAGACATCTTGGCTTTGCAATCTTCTATCCACGGCACAAGGTCTTCTACATGCCACTGGAATTTCTGAGCTTTTTGCATACAGTCCTTGAGCCTGGATTGTCTGTCTGCAGTTTTTTTACTGAGTTCTTCCCAGTGGCTTTTGAGTTCAACCAACTGGTTTTGCAAAGTCTTTTTCTCTTCTCCAGGAGGCACAGAAAGCAGCAGAGATTCTCCTTCAGCCACAATCACCTCATAGGAACCACTGTGTTGGTTAAGGCTCTTCTGAAATTCTTCATTCTCCTGGAGTTGAGTCTGTAGCCTTTCCAGTTTTGCAGAAATTGGGCAGTTTTTTGCTTGCTGGCTTTGTTTGTCATCCAACCAGGTTCTCAGCTCATCAAACATTTGCTGGAACTGTTGAGTGCTGGCAAGAGCCGCCTGGAGTCTGTTCATGCGATCAGCTGGAATGAGAAAATCAAATTTCAATGAATCATGTTTGAGCATGACACTTAAAATGTTTGCTGAGAGTGAATGGTCTTAGGGGAAGGAACCTAATGCTGACTGATTGCATACCATAAAAAATGCCCACAGCTAGCTTCCTTTAAATACTGTATCTTATTTAATCTTCACATTGATCTTATAAGGTGATTAAGCTGGTAAAAACGCCTCTGAAAACACTACAAAGGCAATGAATTAATGACAAATATTTCTCTTGTACAAGGCCATCATAAGAAGTTTAAAACATGTTATCAGTGTGCATGTTCCATGAGCAGCAGTGGAGGGATGTGTGTTAACTCCACCTACGGCCATGGGCAGGACTACCTGCTGGCTGAATGCATATTAGAGCTTCAATCTCCAGGATTGTGCTAGTTAACTGGCACATGTTGCTAATACCCAATCAATGTGCAGTGGCCACGATCTTTTGTAATTGTACAAAAGATGGGGTATCACTCTTCTGAGTCTAAATGCCATGTGAAGGTCATCCTAGATTCTTGGGACTACCATGAATTCATTCCTTAATAATATCGGCAGCAGTATATACCTCATGCTAACTCACCTGCCAGGTCTTCTAAACCTTGGAGAGGTAGAGCCACTGTCTCCAGACGTTTCTTTAGCTCATCCTTGAGGTACTGCTCACCAATGAGCACTGAGAGCTCATCGCAGAGTGTCTGTGCCTCCTTAATCTCATGGTCTAATTGCTCCACATCGGAGCGAATCTCACTGGTCTCCTCAAGTTGCTGCTTTACAGCCTCAGGTTGGGTGCTGATGGCCGACTGGCCACTCAGTCGCTGTCCGACAGCCTTCACCTTCTGTGACAAGTCCTGTAACAGTTCCTGGTACTGGGTGCTTTTGACAATGGCTTGGTCAATTTGGCTGGAACGGGAGTTGAGTTTGTCAGTCAGCTCAACCCACTTCTGATTGATGCTCTGGAGCTCTTTCTGTACTTGGCTGGGGCATGGAGAGACGTCTCCAGGGCCTGTTAGGATGCCCTGAGCTGCCTCATTCAGCTGCTCGTGCTGCTGCCTGCGTGCTTCAAATTCCTTCAGCATAAACTGTAACAGAAACAACACCAAGATGTTTAGAGAGAAAAGACAGATCTAAAACAATGTCAAAACAATGTCAAATGATTTTGGATCATGCTAAGTCATGCCTCTCCTTTAGAAAATCAACTAGAAACCTCAAAGGACCAGACAATAGGAAAAAATAGTATCTCTTAAAGCAATTGCTTAATAAAAATTTGTTGTGAAAGGACACCAATTACATCTATTTTATATATCTTTTCCTGTTTCAACATCAGTGACTAAGGTTGGCCTTGGTTAGGAAACCAGTTTGCCTTCTGACTGGTACTAATCAGCTTTGCCAGGCAAAACCCAGGCCTCTTAATTGGGAGCGAGGGGCAGTGGGTTGCAGAGCTGGCTGGTTTACCATTCCAGCTCTGAATACCTCTGTTCTTAGTTTCTTTCTCAAAATTCAAACAGCACTTACAATCTGTACATTACAATACAGCATAATCAAGAAATGAACTATGTTGTAGCATGTCTTTTAAAAATTATTTTCTCTATGGGCCCTCCCTGGTGGCGCAGCGGGTTAAAGCACAACACTAAGAAGCTTAAGCCACTTCCGCATGAGTTCGATTCCCGCCTGCCCTGGAGGAGACCACATGGCGTGGCAGACCTCTCCTGACCCGCCCGCTGCTCCCCTCAGCAGTGTACTTCGTTGATCTGCCTGCTCTGTTCCCCACTCTGTCTCTGGTGAAGCCTCTCACCGCCCCTGAGCCTCTGGCCTGTACCCCAGTTCTGTATGCATAAATAAATAAATCTTTAAAAAAAAATTATTTTCTCTCTACTGCACTGTAATCCAAAAAGTTAGGATTACAGGCTTTGGAGTCAGGCTGCCTGAGTTCACTCACTAGCTGTACAATACAACCTTAGGCAAGTTTTCTTAAAGCTCACCAAATCTCGGCTCCCTCATCTATAAAATGTGGATAGAAAAGTACTTATCTTGGCTGTTGTAAGGATTAAATAATTGATGGAAAATACTAAGCACTAACACGGTGCAAAAATAAAACATGATCTCAGGAATAAAACTGAACAATAAATACAACAGTGTAAAAATGATAATACATTGGCCCTCCCTGGTGGCACAACAGGTTAAAGTGCAGCACTGCAAAGCTGGCCGCGGCCACTTCAGTGTGAGTTCAATTCCTGTTCCAGAGATGACCCACGTGGCGTGGCAGACCTCTCCTGACCCGCCTGCTGCTCCCCTCAGCGGTGTATTTTGTCCATCTGCCTGTACTGCTCCCCACTCTGTCTCTGATGAGTCCTCTCGGCCCCCACCACCACCCCCCCAGCACCCCTGGCCTGTACCCCAGTTCTGTATGCATAAATAAATCTTTAAAAAGATAAAACACTGATGTGAATCTGCCACTATGGAATAAAGAGTGAAGATGATAAATTCTTCAGAGGATGACAACAGCAGGAGAGGGAAGGCAGGAAAAGCTCCGCAGACGGCCAGTGAAGAACACACAGGGCTTGTCTGAGCAATCAAGGGCTTCAGAGGGGGCATAGGATTAGCAGAGGCACAGTCATGTGAGCGCAGCCTGTTCCAGAAAAGCGAATTATCTATTGTGGGTAGAAACCTCAGTCTATTGGGGGAGAGCTGGGAAAAAAGCTGGCCAAACAAAGTGGGACCAGACTGTGAAAAGTCACACATACCGCCCTGAGCAGGCATCTAGATTTTGTTCAATAGGCAGCCAGGAGCTACTGAAGGATTTTCATATATTCTGATAAATGCTTTAAGGAGACTAATTTGATAATGGTGTGGCTGATAGGCCAGAGAAAGAAGCCCAGGAGGAGGTGGTTACAATGTCACAGGCTTGAGATAAAGCCTCAGGAAGGTTTTACTATTTAGAATAGAAAAGAGAGACTAGAAGAGTAGTTCTTAAAACATCTCCTGGGAGTTGCTAGGTCCTGGCAGGGTATCCATGAGCTCAAAACTATTTTCATGATAATACTAAGATGCCATTTGACTTCTTAAATTCTTACTTTCTCATCAATGTTCAATCAGGCTACACAGCATCTGATATCACGACAGAGTGAATAAGAAGCAGATGTGAAAATCTGTGAGGATATTCTATTAAGTCAGACATTAAAGAGATCTGCAAAAGTGTCCAACAATGCCCTTTAATATTATGTTGATTTTTTGGTTTTGTTTTGGAAAGTGTTATTTTTCCACAGAAATACATTCCCTGTGTTAATGTTCTGGTTTTTACAATATAATTTTTAATTAATATAGATTTTTAAAAATTCCTCAGTGCACCAATAAATTAAGTATCAACAGTGGTCAATAGATAAATGCAAGCTCTTTGGGGTTCTCAATAACTTTTAAAAGTATAAAAGGGTTTAAGACCAAAAAGTCTCAAAACTGGATTTGAAAAATATTTGTAAGTGGATTAAATAAGACTGGATAGTTGGAAAAGGGGATTAAGAAGAGAAAAGTTTCCTTCAAAAACTATTCTTAGATCTTAACTTAAGGAACTTAGTAATGGTGAAAAGAAATGAAATAAGGTTGGCTGAGAATATAAAGAACGTTACAGGCAGGGTTTCACTGGAAATGACCTACCTCAGTTTCTATATTATGCACTTACACAATCTTTATTTCTGCTTCATCAGCAGAAAATCTTACTTCATATAAAGCCAGCAAATGAAACATACTACATTAAATAAGGTGGATCTTTACCAGAGGGTCCTAAAAGTAAAATGTGACACTTGAAGGGGGAGAGTCTGTACCTCTAAAACACAGAAGAGCTGGGGTGTAGGCCAAAGTGTGGGGGTACCGGGGTAGTGAGAGGACTCACCAGAGACAGAGTGGGGCACGGCAGGCAGATTTATGGAAATCCACTGCTGAGGGGAGCAGTGGGAAAGACAGGAGAGGGCTGCTGTGCCATGGGGGTCAGCTCACTGGCTGGGATCAAACCCAGGTCATGTCAGTGAGCACTGAGACACAACACCTGGGCCCCAGGGAGGTCCACAGACAATATTCTAAACCACTGTTACCTCAATTAAAAGAAAATGTAAGATGTGACTAGATAATCTAGTCAGAAGTTCCTGCTCTCATATCTGCTTGTCTTACCTTCTCTGAGCGATGTCAGTGATAGGAACTATCTGACAGGCACTGTGACAAAGCTCTTACAAATACCTCATCTCATTTAGACTGAGGAAACGGTGACTCAAGAGGTTAGATGACTCATCCAGGGCCATGTGGAATGTACTTGCTGATAGCAGCATTCAAACCAAGCTCACCCAAGTGCAATTTCTTAGCTCTAAGCCACCGAGCGCATCCTCTCACCTGGACCTGCTGCTTTTGTGCATTCAGCATGTTGGGGTCGATAGACAGGGGCCCCAGCACCCCCATCATCAGTTCCTTCTCCATCAGCCAGGGCCGGAGCTGGGATTCCGCAGCCTGGAAGGAGGCCAGATGACTCGCAGACTCCTCCAGCTGCCTTTGTCGAGCCACAGTCACCTCGGTGGCCCTTTCCCATCGGGAATCTGTGGAGAGGAAATGAGAGAATGTCCCCTTTATTCTCATTGGCCCCTGGCCTAGTCCCTAAATTATGTTCCTAATAAACTACAGGAAATGACCCCTGGAACATTAGTTAAAGTTTTTCTAAGTTAAAAATAAGCTTCATTTAATTTTAACTAAAACAACACAGTTCTGCATCTTGACGGAAGTGGTGGTTATATGAAACTACAAATGCCCTAAAACTGTCCAGAACTACATTCACACATGCATATGAGCATATGTAAGATAGTTTATAGCCCCTCCTATACTTACCTTATTATGAATATCTTTATACCAGTAAGTTTTTTTCACGCCAATATTCACCTACATCGTTTTTCGTGGCTATTTATAGTAAGAATCTTTAGGATGGCACTTTTTTATTTTTGTCAGTTGTGCTCTTTTTACCATAGTAGACTGTTGGTTTGACTTGCCCAAGAAAGTTAAGCTTCAGACACTGAGAGCGGAGTCTCTAAAATTTCCCCTTAATCAAAGTCTGACCTTCTAATCTTACCTTCTACTCTAGGTCTCTAGCTTACTTGTGAAAATTAACTGTAAAAAATTAACCAGCTTTAGAGGATGTGCTGAAATTCTGCATTTGCAATTTAGTGAATTTACAGCATCCCTGTGAGGACTTACTGAGCTCCTCCTGCATTTTCTTCCAGTTCTCTGCTTCTTGAGAGTTCGGATAGGTCATCAGTAATCCAGCAAGGGCTTCCTTTACTTTTTGGATGTTTGGAGAATTCTGTTCCAGTTCAGACAGGAAGGCCTAGAATAAAGAACACAAAGTACGCTGTAACGTTTCCACAGGGGGAAAGGCTGTGGGCGTGGAAGAAATGACTGGAAGGTTGGGAAGCAATACAGACTCTGTTTCTGATGCCATCCAGGACTTGATTTCTGATTTTAAGATTTTTAACCTTTTTGCCTCAATTTTTACTTTAAATGGAAAATTTAGACAGTAGAATCTAAATTTTTTTCTATCTGGAACCAATCAGCAGAGTCCAGTAGGAAACATTAATCCAGTGTCAAGATATGATGTGTGATGTTGATGCAGCTGGAGGATATATTCTGATATACCTACTTGGGACATAAAAACATTTGGTGAAAAAAATTTTTTTTACAGGACTGTCTATGTGGTTTTCTATCATCAGAATGAATTGTAATCACCCTTATATAGGTCCCTTTAAGAACTGGAAAAGTGCTTTGATGACTATAGGTTGCTTTATAGCAGAAGACAGAAAACAAGATCCCATCCTCTAGGAGATGGTGTTTTGGAGGAAGGCTATGTGTTCTATAACCAGATCTGGCTTCCTTCTGAATCTGACATCACAATTTTTAATTTCACAGGTAAGGCACTACCTGTGCCTCTAGGAGAGTTTGGCCTATCCATCACTTGCGAGTGCCCCACGCAGCCTGTGAGGCCTGGGCGGTGAGCCACATCTCTCTCGCTTGGGTCCCTCTGCCTGGGCAGGACTCTGCAATGACGGTCCCTCCCCTTGGCGTCTGGGGTGCACGTGGCACAGACACAGCACCTTGTTAGATTCCGCCTGGGCTTTCACGGTTTCTGTCTTAGTGGGAGATGATGAAGCATCCATGGCTTTCAGAACTTCCTCTTTGGATTCCAGCCACTGCAGCATTGCGCTTGCCTCCTTCTGAACTTCTTGTGTCCTGCTGAGGACAGCCTGAAGGCTTTCCTGGCGTTCCCGAAGCACTCCCCCCAGTTTCTCATATTTCAGGTTTACATCTGACATGTCACACTGGATCTCCGTCAGATCTAATATCACAGAAACAGAAATCAGATTGGGACTAACTCTCTTAGCATTCCCACTGGGTCCCTTTACTAACTGCTCATCAGGACTAGCGTTTCTTATACTCCTAGTGAACTAAAGGGTACCTTCCTGCCAAATCAATACAAGTTCATTTGCATGTACAAAACAAAAGGGATCTTACTAATTTGCTTTCTGATTTGGCATTTTATACTCAAACGTAGGAGCAAATTGCTAATCCATATGGGAATAGCAAAAGTGAAGAGGGTAAGGATTTAGAGGGTGAGGCTTTGGGGCATTCTTCTGCTCCATCTTTCCAAACTACAGGGAAGTCTCCCAGCTAGGAGGTCAGAGATTAGACTAAACTTCCTCTAGTATAGCTTCTTTAAATTTAAAGATTTATGTATCTTTTCTGCAAGTCTTGCCTAATGGACTTATCTCACAGAGCAGTGTACTTCCTTACTACTCTTTATCTTACTAGTTGCCAACTTAGCCCACAGTGAGCAAACAGAGGCATCCCAGTTGCTTCTCCCCAGATTTTCACCCTCACATCCAAGCCGGCAGCTCTTCCCCACACAGGAAAACACACACAGAGCAAACATGAATGCTGTCCTAACACACCCAACAAAGAGGCACTGTTGACATGGCATCTCACCTTTGCAGGTGTGGTATCCGTTTACACTGCCTACAGAGCTTCCTACAGAGGGCAGTATGGAACCTGAGCAGGAGGACAGGGAGACAAACAGGGCAAGACAAACGTGTTAGGAGCACATACAGGCACCGAGTTGTTCTCTGGCCCTCACTTTAGGCTCAGGTATTAGGAAGATCACACAGCACGAGACAACATACTCATGGAAAGAGACAAGTCATTTTAAATGCCAGGTTAACCAAGTATCACTTGAGGTGTTTCAACTCCTTAGCAGTAATGACTCCTGGCCCTCACTAGAAGTCTGTCCAAGTCCCTTCTTGAATCACCAACTTAATTTTGGGACCCTCCCCTAATTTTGTGAAGTAAGTACTGGTAAAATGACTATTGAGTCATTAGAATACTACCTGCTACACTTTGGAGAGCGGATTCATAAGGCAAATTAAGGATTTATAATAAAGCAAAGTTCAAATTTTAAGGTCATACTATAATAAAAATAAAACAAGCCCTTCTTATATTGTTTCAAAGGAAAGACTCCTTGTCTTCTTTTATTGCTTTCTGCACTCCTCCCCTGACCAGAAAACAGAAATTCTAAGCACCAATAAATATGGCTCATTAGCATTCCCAAAATTATGTCTTTGGACTGGTCTTGCTTTTAATTATCAAATTTCCACTCCTTGCATTTCAGGAGTGTCCCAAGTCCAGTAAAAACCAAATCATGTAATAACAATCTCATAGAACTGTAAAGATTGGTTATGATATGCTGTTATACTAAAAGCACTAAAAAGCACAGAACAGATTTTGCATATGCCATTTTTTTTTTCATGGTGAGAAGTCATGTGCAAGGTTATATTAGAAAATAGTAATTATAAAGTGGGTCAAAGAAAGATCATATTCTACTGCAATACAGTAATGGCCTAAAAAGAAACTGGTCTGGCAGCTAGAAGGTCCTAGCCAAGACTGTCACTAACCAGGAATGGAAGCTTTAACCTGCGAGAGGCCTTAGTTATCTTCTCTGCGATCTGAAGGTAATACAGGCCTGTCCGCTCTCATGGGGTTACCAGAAAGAAGTAACGGTGTGAGTGAAAGCACTTTATGCAACAAAAAGCTACCAAAATGTAACGAAACAGAACATTTGAGTTTTCAAAGTTGGAAGAGAACTTGGAGCATGCTCAGGGAAGTGATTTTCCAAGAGCCCTAAGGAGGTGATTTAGAGACTATAAATGTTTGGCTTAAATTTAATATTTAGAATATATTACTTAGAGATGCAATAAAACATTTACAGTCAATAATACTGAACACCACATCTTAACCCACTAGATAAAACCAACTCATGTCACTTTTTCTGGAGAATAAAACCGCTTCTTCTTCTCTGCAGTTAGGCTTCCTTTTTGGTCACTGACTGGAAAAGTGGTGGCTCTTCACTAGCATGTTGTGGCATTCAGACCTATACATGACAGTGAACTTTAAAAGCACTGGTCATCTCTGTGTGTGTATTTTCTGGATACAATGTGATAAAAAAAAATTGAGAAATCACATGAAATTGTTATTCAAAAAATCTTTTTCAAACTTTTATATTGACTAAAATCATCTCAATATTCTCACTGGCAGATTATATGTAGCTAATTTCTGAAGTACTGTTAGTTCTGAGTAGTTGCAAGACATCTCTAGACTTCAGGATGCAACAGAAAAGTAGCCATTCTCAGGAAGAAAAAGAAAGAAAGCCTTTTCCTTACTATTTAAGTGACTACAGGAGTTCACACTGCCTAGTCATAAAACCTATGCGATCTCAGCTAACAACCAGACAGACAGTGATGTGAACTCATAATGGATTTTGTGTGGAGGACTTTATTTGTAGTTAGAGATTTCCTGGATCTGGAATGTTCTTAGCCACTCCCACGAGGCACGCCGGGGTCCCCGGTATATTGATACTGACTCTTCAATACCTGTATCTCGTAAGACCTCATGCTTAAACCTTCCTTAAATTGGGCTGACCCCAATTTAATGACACATAGCCATCACATTTACATGTTCAAAAGAGAGAAATTCCACAGGATGGAGCCTATTTTAATCTATGTTCAGTTCTAAGTGGACCAACTAGTCCCTCTATTTCTCCCTGTTATGGAAAAGAATTCTGCAAAACGGAGCAGTGTGACACAGCGAATGGTCACTGGGGAGGACTGCTTTGTGGACCCCCTGTGTTTGCATACCCAATCTTGCTTTTGACTTCTATTAAATAAGGGGAGGCTAACAAAGGCAAAGCAAAGAATGATGTATAGCAACCACATTTTTAAGAGCTTGCTCTTACCTGTCTTAGCTTGGGAATCAGGTGCTGTGATCTCCACGATGAGATTTTCTAAAGAAGTGCCTTTGCAATTGATTTCTTCCACCAAAGTTCCCTTACTTGACCAATCATCTAGAAGACCCTATTTGAAGAACAAAATAGCTCAATGTAACAAACAGGGGATTCCATCTTCTTAGCAGGGACACCTCTTCATCTGTGGTCACACCCTGAAGTTCTGGTATGCATTAAATGATCATTCTCATATATTCAATCATTTCAAGATACTAGTTTAGCCAGTCAGGGTGTGAGAGCATGACATCTTGAAATATTTAAGACCTTCTCATTCATTCAGTCATTCATCAAATATTTACTGATCTTTTACAAGGCATCATGCCAAATAGAGGTTATAAAAGAGGATTATGACACAGTTCTTAAAACCAAGGGCTAAGATTATAAATTACATTGTAATGTGACAAATGCTAGTACAGAATATGGATAGTCAACAAATGCTGAGAACACAAGAAGAGACATAGCTTACTCTACTTAGAGGGAGGAAAGACTTTATGCCAAGATCAGAGTTTACCAGAAGGACAAAGAAAACACATGTAAACAGAAGTGATAACTGAAGGGGAAAATGTGGAGCTAGACTCTGAGATACAGAGAAATACACAGAATTACAGGCTATGCTTCTAATTTTGGGGGGAACTTCACATGGTTTTTGAAGTCAGAGCTTCAACTATCTGAGAAAGCCACCAGGAAGTCATGGCCTACGCTCTAAGGCAAATCTCTCGGGTCCTGTTGTCTCTAGATATGGTTTGCTGGCCACAGAAGCAGGCCTGACTCTGTTCAGAGCAGGGACAATGCTCTGACCTACAATCTTCTACATCGAAATTTCCTCAGAATCTTAAGTTTGCTTTTGACTTTAAATTGCACAGCAGTGGTGGGAGAAGACAGAGCCATGAACATCCAGCATGCTCATGCTGCCTAACTTCAATTGAAACTTTCAAATTTAAAAAAAAAAAAAGATTTATTTATTTATGCATACAGAACTGGGGTACAGGCCAGAGGAGCAGGGGCAGTGAGAGGATTCACCGAAGGCAGAGTGGGGAACAGAACAGGCCAATTTACTGAATATGCTGCTGAGGGGAGCAGTGGGTGAGAAAGGAGAGGTCTGTCGTGCCACTTGTCCATTATTTTATTAGTCATTCTAGTCCCGAGGGCCACAGTTTCCAAAACATGCACTGATTCCCAGGACATCTTAAATTTCTGAAGGAAAAACAGTGCCATCTGTTGGACACCATGTGAACAACTACTAGTAGGTTGCTTCAATCTGACCTTTAGCAAGTTTTTAGGTTTTTGGCCTTGACAGGTCATGAAAGATTCCTTGAAACGCCAAGGGAACTGTGAACCAAAAAATTGGGAAGCATCTGCCCTACAGAATTCCCTGCCGCAAATGATTCTGGCACTCTCTCTGGGAAAGCAAGCAATCTCTTTTCTTCTACCTGCTCAAGATAAATACTGTTTTACTAAGAAAATAAAGATGAGGGCATTAAGAGTTAATTAGAAGCAGATTTGACCACTTTCAGCAAAAAGTAGAGATGTGTTAGAGTTGCATGCAGAGGCTGATCAACTACCAATCAGGATGTGGGGAGAGGCTGGTTCCTCCAACCACCTGATTCTAACTTTATTAGTTATAGAACTAGTTTTTACCGCTTCAATATCCTGATCATAGATCTGGCTACCTGCTCAGATAAAACTGCCTAATTCTAAACATTCAACAACAGTGTAAGCTTCTCAATGACTGGATTTTTAAACTGTCTTTGATATAAACTGCCTCTGCATGAGTTAGCCAGGAAACAGCTGAAATATGCCGTGATTCCCAGACTAGTTATTCCATTTTGCTTTTTAAATAGCAGGTGTTTTGGTGCTTGGTGCTCAGGCAGAGGGCTGGGAACCACATGAACATCATGGAAGGATTTTCTGTGCAGACTGGCAACTTGGATTTCTCACACCACATCCCTACCACAGAGGGAGACCAGCCTATACTCTCTCAACATGCTTCCCTGTCTGGGGTTTCCAGGGATCCCTTTGTTCACCCACCTTTAGGTATTCAATCTGCTTTTCCAGTTCTTTAGTACTCATGAAAGTTTCTGTAGGTGGAATGTTTCCTTCTGTTTCCTTCAGCCATTTCTGGAAGGTCCTAACCAGCTTCCGAAATTCATCCAATTGTTGCTGGCAAGATGATGCATCTTCCTCTCTGTCAATGAAGGTATTTTGTTAGTAGCTAGACTAAGCTTTGCAAAGAGTCAACTTGAACTAAAACCAGGTTCATTCTGGGACTGTAGGCATCAGTTTCCTAACAGGGCCTCTCCTGCTCATAATCTTCTATTTTTTAAGATTTATTTATTTATACATACAGAACTGGGGTACAGGCCAGATGTGTGTGTAAGGGGGTTAAGGGGTGAGAGACTTCACCAGAGACAGAGTGGGGAGCAGAACAGGCCTATCTATGAAGCACACTGCTGAGGGGAGCAGCAGGGTTAGGAGAGGTCTGCCACGCCATGTGAGTCATCTTCGGGGCTGGGAATCAAACTCTCGCTGAAGTGGCTGCAGTCAGTTTAGTAGTGCTGCGTTTTAACAGGTTTAACCACCAAAGCGGGCCTTCCTCATAATCTTTTCCATAGCACTTTTGGCTAAATAACCACATATAAAGTCGGAGAACATCAAACTAAGGCTTCTGTTGCCCTTGTTTGGACATTTCTGGGGAAAAGAGTCTTCAACCTTATTGCAGGCTAAACTGAAAGTGAGAAAAACTACAGAGAGCCTGCTATTTAGGCACTATGATACAATGGAAAGAATGCAGGCTCTAGATCTCATGTCTAGCTTTGCTACTTTTTAGGCATTTAACTCTTTCAAGGCCTAATTCAAATGTTAATTTCTTTAACAAGAAAGATGCAAAAAAAATGAGATTCAGTGAAGTAAACTAATGAATCAAGGAGAAAGGAAAATTTGGAATTCAGTTTTAGAAATGGACACGGCAATCAGACCTCAAGCCAGAGGTCTGGTTTCACATAGGGCTTAGAGGGCCCTCAGCACAGGGAAAACAAAGTCTTCTTGGTTGTTGACTCCCTCATCTCTACTAAATTACCTGCTGTAAGCAGCTACTTTGTGTAACTGCTTTCTTCTAGCCACTGAAGTGGTCATTGGCTAAATCAAGATTATACTTATGGATAAACCAAGAGAAGTCCTATCAAGTTCTTAAGCCATAACGCTCTCTAGTGGGGGAATCATGGCTTTTCAACAGTGAGGTGACAGCCTGAAACCAGCAACCTTTGTTATAGAAGCTTATGTTTGCCTTAAAAGAATCCAGACAGTCTTCCAAAACAGCAATTTAAATGTGGTCAAACCAAGCAGGGCGTGTGTCAACACAACCCTTAATTACGTCTGGGAAGTCTCCTCTGATTTTTTCTCTTTATTTCAAATCCTGCCACAATCTACCTCACTACTCCAGATTTGTCCTGTTTGGTCCTGTGATCTATAGGCTTTTGATTGCACAGAGAGGAAAATGAACCTGATTACTGAGAAGGAGTGCACTATTCAGTAATAGAAAAACTACTAAATAAGTGGGTAGTTTTGCTTGAAAAAATAGGCACTTCCAATGATTTAGTTAGCAGAGTTCTTGATATCACTTTTCTGATAAAGTTGGAAGAAGAAAGAGAGTATCATTTCACTCAATAGCAAGAGAAAATGAGCTCCTGGACACTGAGCGACACGTGAAAACTCACCGTTCTTTAACTGTCTTTTGCAGCTCTGCGAAGTCCTTCTTTAGGCTTTGGACCCTGTCCTGGTGCTGGGACAGGTCCAGAGCAAATCCACAGGAGCCCAGTTCATCAACCAGGTGCTCAAGAGTAGAAAGATTCTCCTGCTGGTCTTGCATTTCCAAATTGAGCTCCTGTTAAGCACCCAAGGAAAAGCATTCAATCCTCCAATCCTTACACTCTTAAAAAGGAGAGATCTACATCTCCCCTAATTCGCAGAAAGAGATGGGACAAAAGAGGCGTGCGTACCAGGTCCACAGCTGGAATCAGAATAGTAATTATGAAGGTTGCTCTGGCCCTCCCGAGAATGGATAGGGACTACAAGTGGAGCTCGGCTTCTTTAAGCAAATGTTTGAAGATTTGGGAAGTAGTGCGATGGAATGAAATCAATAGAGTTGTCTGGCACCAAAAAGTTCTGGAATTCAGTCCTGGCCTTGCCACTGATTAGCTTGTAATCTTAAGTTACTAAACTTCTCTAGGCTTCCAGAGTCTGCCTTTTCTGTACAACACAGGAAACACACTCTGGCCACTATTATTTAACATTGCATTGATGATTTAGGTGATGCAACTAGGGAAGAGAAAATAATTTGTGCCATAAAAATTGGGAAAGAGGTAAAACTGTGTCTATTGATTATGTGAAAGTATATTTGTAAAACTCATGGAGTTAAAAATACAACTAATTCAATCAATGAAGTAATTCAATAAGGCAGCAGGGAATAAAACCAACATAAGAAAGTCAAGAGTGAAAACTTCATTTATAATAGCAACACAAAAACTTTAATTTTAGAAATCAACTAACAAAAAAATATACAAAATTTTTAGGAATAAAACTTTAAAACACTTCCGACAGAAGTTGACCTGAAACAGTTAAAAAAAAAGCCCACAAAGATATGTGTGTGCAGGGACCTCCCTGGTGGTATAAGGGGTTAAAGCACAGTACACCAGAGAGTCCATCCCTGGCCAGGGAGGTGACCCACCTCACTGCTCCCCTCAGCAGTGTATTTCAGCCAATCCATCTATTCTGCTCCCCACTCTATCTCTGGTGAATCATCTCACCCCTGCCCCTCTGGACTGTACCCCAGTTCTTATATGCATAAATATTTTTTAAAAAGATGTGTGCATATGCATGTGTACATTCAGTGAGAATAAGTAATTTCTTGTGACTCAAAAATACCAATATTTTGTCCCTAAAACTAATAAAGTTAATTTTAAAGTTCATATGGAAAAATAAAATGTGCAGTTACAGCAATGGAGAAACCTAAATGAAAGAAAAGGGAACTAGCCCTATCAGAGAGAAAAACATAGCATAAATCCTCTAGAAGTAAAAATAATATCCTCTGGCACACGAATACAGAGCAGTGTAACAGCACAGAAAACCCAGAAATAGATGGACATTCTGTGTATGATAGGACGGTCCATGTGTGGCAGAGGTGGCTTCTCAAATCATGAAGAAAAGAGACGTTTTAGATAAATGAAAAGCCACTAGATAGACCTTGGGAAAAGATGAACTTGGATCTATACCTCACATCATACCTCAGAATAAGCTTAATTAAAGGGTTCAAATGTGAAGGGGGGGAAAAAAAAAAAGAATGAAATCGTATAAATTTTAGAAGCATGGGTAAATTCCTTCAAAGCCTGTGACTGGCAATAAGGCTTTAAAACTATGAAAAACAAAAACAAACAAACAAAACTATGACTGGAAAGAAATCTTCACAAAAAGTGATAAAGCTTACTGTGTGAAATTGAAAGAAAAAGTTTTACAGGGCCAAACAACGTAAGAGAAGTCAAAATACAAAGGGTAAGCTGAGAAAATATCTCTAAAACACATTCCATATAAAGAATGAATCCAACATAGAAGCTATATTGATATATAAACTACATGTGTGTATAGCTTTTGAAGGTACCATTTTTACCAACCATTTCTAGCTCTACACTTAGTGTACATGGTGGCACTGCACGCCGTCACCCCCTTCAAAGTCAGGTGTGGTCACGTGAAACTTCCTGTGCCTACGGATGTAAAGGGATACGCTACACCCTGCACCGTCGCAGCGCGAGTGACCATCAGGACGCGGGTTCCTGACTTGAATCCCTGAGTGGCCGTGATATGCTAAGTGCTGCCGGTCAGGCCTGAACACATTAGTATGAGTGAAAATAAACCCAGGCTGTGTTTTAAAAAGTGGATAAATAACATCTAGTTGACAGGATGGCTATGATCATTCTTTAAGATAATGTAGGTAATGTTTCCGGCACACTAACTGGTATATTTTGTGCTCAATAAATATCGGTCCTCTCCCTGCCCTCCTTTTCCATGTGTCTCATTAATTTGGCAGATATATTCTCACCTGGATCTGTTGGGAGAAATGTGCAATATCTTGATCTGGCTGATTTCCAGAGGCCAGCATCCGGCTTTTGTTTTCCATGAACAGCTGAAGCTTATCAGAGAGGTGTTCAAACATCTCTGCCTGGGGCAGAAGCTTCTTCAGGGAGCTCTCTTTCTCTTGCTGCTGTAGACAGAGCTGTTCGAAGCGCTGGCTGACCTCTACCAGCTTGCCCTGCAGTCCCACTGCCGTGGTGCTGTCTGCTGTCTCCATGAACTGGGTCACCATCTCCCGGGTGGCATCTAAGCTGCTCTTTTGCCGGGCAATGTCCTGCTTCAGTTTCTGTCATCAAGAACATGTCTGTCAGCTTCTGGCTCACTTATCAGAACATGACACTTCTATAGCCATGTGGTAGCCTCCTCAAGAGGGAGGCTGGAGGACCACAAGTGACCCTTCAGAATTCCATACATCTCACGCCCTTAGTTCTCCACCTCATGCTACCAAATGATGCTGTGCCGGGCAACACCATGCTGATAGAGACGGGAGCCATGGAGCAGCTAGAAGAGCAAGATCCCGGCCCTTTGACCGGTAGACTAATCACACAGCATTAATCATGTGAGGAAGTGAAAAAGAGAGGGAGAATTAGAAGAAGCTGGGCAAAAGGTGGAAATGGACTTCTCATCTGCTGATAGCTTGGTATGCAGATCAAGTCTTGACACCCCAGTCAGGATTTAATCTTATCAATAAGGTGTTCCACTGATCAGCTTCTGGGGTCCTTCATTATACAGCAGTCAATGGCCCCCGGCCGTTCCCGGTCCTACCTCGTGATATACCCCTTCCCAGGGTGATCTAGCTTTATGCTCTTAATTGATGTGAAAGGTAACTTGTAGGGTTGGACTCCTATGACACGGCAGTTCTGACCTTGCTTTAGGAATACAGAACTGTAGGTAATAAAATGGAGGCTGGATAAGCTGTCTAGCATTAGCAGATCCACATTTTGCTATTGCCACTTTACCTCAAGCTGAACAATGGTTCCGAAACTAGACAAATATTTTTAATGGAGTAGTATTCATCTCTAAAACTTATCAGAAGATTTGTGGAGATGAAGTCATCTCCTGAACTTTTTCCAAATGATGGCATCATAGAAAATGGTGTCCACACCCTCTGTGCTAACTCGTGGTGCACAGGTCTCACCATGTTGGTGGCCAAGGCTTCTTGGATAACTCCCGATGACAGTGATGCCACTTGCTTCTCTTCCAGGTTTTTTTCAACTTCCCTGATGGACTGCAGCAAGCTCTCCAAGCTTTCTTGGACACTCTGAGACTGGGCAATTGCCTTCTGCAGCAGAGCAGAGCGTTCAGCCAGGCTACTGGAGAGGCTTTGGAAATGGCTGAGTATGGAATCTGGAAAATCAAGGCCATGAGAAGAGAGAGTGGAGAGTATTTCTGTGTTGTGCTTTTAAAAAGAGTACATTAATAATGAAGCCAAATACAGTTAGTGCTAATTATTTAGTAGCCCTAAAGGTGCCAGAAATTGTACTTGATGATGAGGACTAAACAGAGTTAAGTCTCTGCCTTCTACAAACTCACGACCCTTAAGGAGACAACAGGCAGAGAAGCACCTAGGCATAGCACATCTACAAGAAAGCATAAATGCTACACTGGTCTAGAAACTAGGGGCACTGTACTAGAGAAGTCCAAAGGAGGGATGATTATTTCTTATCTTTCATATCTTTTGGGGCTGGGCTGGTAGTCAGGACTTCAGAAAGAAAGTAACCAGTTGGCTGTATCTTGAGCAAGATACACATCATTCATGGTGGATTTAACCCATTTAGCACCTGAACATAGGGAAAACTCGGGAGTGAAGTAGTGAAAGAATAGCTAGCTTACTGGCAAAGGAAGGCAGGGTGTGGCTAGAGGGCAGAATGCCTGGGGAGGCGGGGCTGACGGCCCACAGAAGCCCTTCAGTGGAGCAAGGATGAAGGTCTTGGTGCACTATTTGTGCTGATACCTGCAGTCCCTAGCCAGAGCCAGAGCCACTCACACCGAGTGATGTGCAGGACAGAGGTACGTACTAGGAATTAAGGAGGCACTCTTGCTATCGCTGCTTCATACCTGTAGTTTCTTGAATATGCTTGTGGTCTGGGGCTGGCTCCCCTTCAATTTCCATGAGGTCACGAGCCACTTTTTGGAGTTTTTCTACAGGCACTTGATGTTCAGCCAATTCTTCCTGCAACTGCTGCTTGTTAGTAACAAAGGACAAAAGGAAAACACCTGAGTTGAGTCATCAGAGCTAGTTCTGGGAATTTAGAATCTAGGAATCATCTTTGTGCAATCATTCTCGGTATATGCACAGCCACAAATATCAGAATAAAGTGTGTAGGAGTAAGGTCTTGTCCAAGGCCTCCCAACCACTGACTGTAATCTATGCAAGTGCTTGCTTCGGGAGGCCTCTGAGCCCAGCAGTACAGCAGCTGTGTCCCGACTTACCTTGGTTGTTGCAAGCTGCTTTTGTAGGACTGTAGGGTCAGAAGCAACAGTGTCTGAGAGAAGCCTCTCCACATTGGCCTCACAAGCCTGCATCCAGGTCTGCAGGCTGTCAGCACTGCTCTGGAACTGCTGATACTGGCCTAGTAGCATGTTCAGGTGAGCACCCAGTCGTGCACACTGCCCAAGAAAGAGAGAAAGGGGGCTTAAGCAAGACGAGGCCAAAGGCAGAAAAAAAACCTCCTAGGCTTTGGCTAAAGAGAGGGAACATAATTATAGGTAGGACTGGGGAGGCCCACAGATGGCGGCGAAACCCATTAGTGAGATCATAACTGTCTGATCTACAATTCCGGTTCTAACATTACTATATAACTGAGAAGATTTAGTGAATGATTTAGTGATTTAGTGTATGACAAGCCACCAAAGAACTACACATTGGGTGGTAGACAGAGGAGGGGTTTTAAAGGAACAAAAACATTTCTTTTGGGGAGTTAGCGTTCTTGGCAGAAAGCAAGGACAGGTAAGAAGGGGGTTTTCTGGATGTATTCTAAATGCTCTATCTGGGAGTAGACTTATACTTGGGTTAAGTTTCCTCTGTGCTAAGTCTCTCAGGAGCTCACATCTGCTGGCCAGGATACAGGTAGGCGATCACCTCCACCTTCACCATGGAGTGTGATGCCCCATATTTCTTAGAACTGTCGTTAGCCTGTGGGCCTAACCATTTTGTACTTCTGCAGAGCTCACAAAGACATTGTGTCTGTAATCAGTGTGTCAGTCAGCTTGCTCACTGCGACCTGAGGTTTCTAAGCCCCAGACACGATCCAGTCACACATGCAGAGTGCCAAACTTCACTACGGCTGCAAACACCTCTCGCTTACCTTTGAGTGGAGAGTAGTGTATCTCTCCGTAGCATCCTTCAGCTTATCCTTCACTAAGGCTCCAGTTGCTGAGCATTCTCTGCCTTCCTCAAAGTTATTTTCTGTGTCCAAGACTTTCTGTCCTGAGATAGTGACAAATCTCAAGTCTCCTTTATGGGAAATGACATCTTCTGAGAAGCTCCCCTGACGCTTTAGCAGGGAGGGAAGGGCTTCAGGGCTGCTGTCTCCTTTATGCATGTTCTCCAGCTCCTTCTCAGACCGTTCCAGCCAGGTTTCAAATTCTTTATGATCCTGCAGAAACTTCTGCAGCTCATCCCGTAGTGTCTGCACCTGCTTCAGCTCTGCCTCTGACTGGGCCAGGGAAGTCGCATACTGTTCCTTCAGCAATCCTAGCTTCTCTTGCAGCATCTGCCGTTCCTCGGGTATGAGATTGTGGCCATGCTGGTCCAGGAAGGCCTGAGCTGACTGGGTGGCCAAGATGAAATTCTGTTGCTGAGACAGCAATTCTTGGTGACGAGCCTGAAATAACCCCCCCAACAACAGACAATCAGTAGGGAAGTCCACAACCATAGCTGTGGAGGCACAGGGAGATCTCAACAGTCACTTCCAGTTGCTCAGAAATCGATGACCTCTCTCACTCTGTATGCATTATGTAACATATGAAGGCCAACTGAAAGGACACATGTGTGTATACAAATTAAAGAGATTTTATGTGTATTATTTCATGTGATTTGGGGCATAATCTGCAATGTAGGCAGATAATATACTATTCCTATTAAAGATGGGGTAGATGAATATCAAAAAGGTATATGCCTTGACTATCATAATATGGATAGTTAAGAGACAAAAGTGTCTACAGCCTGACTTTCTTCACTCAACTACCTTAAGACTGAAAGTACAAATGTCTAACTAATAATGACCCACAGTGATGGAGGGGGAGACTAAGCTGATGAAACCATCCACATGACAATATAAAATGAATACAGGCTGCAAAATGTGGCACACATCTATGAAGACCACACCTACTAAGAAAAAACGTGGCAAATGAATTTATTAAGTCACCAATTTGCCTGCTCGAGATTGTACACTGTGCTTCTGCAGAGTGTGGGTAACTTGTACCGTTTTTATGGTTTTAGATGTGGGCCTCTTTCTACTCCAGTGGAATAAGTTCTTTCATATAGTTGCGGTTGTTTTTAAAATGTTCTTTTTGAGTCCAAAAGAAAATAGAACATCAGTCAGTGATCTTGACTACTCATACTATTTATGCAACTATCCACAGAAGGAGTGTGGCCATTTTCATCAAAATATTATTCAGTTCCAGCTTCTATCAACAGTTTCCAAAGTCACCTCAGGAAAGCAGGGTGACAGATCTATCCTGCTGAATGGTTTGTAGGCACTACTGCTAAGGTTGTCTATCTACCACCACAGCGTCCCCATTCTCGGTCTCCAACCCACCCACCACAAGGGAGGCATTTTTTCTTTCTAGGGTGAGAATGCACCTTGGTCAGACTGATGCTACCAAGCACAGAACTGGCAGACCAGATGCATAAATTCTGCTAACGCAAAATAAGGTAAATATTCACACAGGTGATTCAGCAAAAGTACTCCAAATTGTCTTTTGTATAAAGGTGTCAACTAAATAGTAATTCATGTATGTGTTTTGTAAGGGCCTCCAAATGTATAATTGTTTCTCAATCAAGAAATGAAATACGTACATATATATATGTGAGTTGATTCTCCAAGGAGATGGCTTACTGGTTTATTTCTAATACCTGTCACACAGCAGGGGCTCAATGTTTGTTGAATGAATAAATGAACAGATAATAAGAAATGGTTTCTGCTTTCAAATCTAACATCTAGAAGGCAGTAAACATGAAAAAATATAATTCAGAATGAGAAATGCTACTAAGTAAGGTGGGTATAAGAAGAGTTATAGGAAGAATGTGAACCTATACTCAATTTTGGAGACTGTAAAAGAAGGGATTGGTGAAAGAAGAGAAATCTAAGAGGAGCAGTGAAGAGTGAGTAAAAATTACCTAAGAGCTGGGTACACCCTTTATTTTCTGCACTGGGGAGGCAACAATGCCAAGAGCATCAAGGGTCATGGCAGAGTGAGGGCTCACTGGTCAGTGAAGTGAAGAGGGTCAGCACAGCTAGAGACTCAAGTGTGAGGAAAGTGAGAGGTAGTTCTGGATAACAGGGGAGGGTGAGGAGGCAAAGAGCTTGGACTTTATCTTGAGAGCCATAGGAAACCTTTCAAAGTAGGTAAGCTGCGATTTACATTTTAGAAAGATCACCCGGACTGGTAAGTGGACTGCAGGGCCCTAGCCCAGAATAGCTGAAGCTACTAGGGACGCAAGTGAGAGCTGAAGTAATCTGAAGTACAGTAACATCTCTAGGAGACAAAGCAGGGATGACTCTGAAAGGTAAATAAACATGGGATTTGATGACTGATTTGATCTGCAAGGGTGATGAACACAGGGTGATGTCCAGATCGGATAGATAAATGGAAATAAAGGGAGGAGAAAATGTTTGATTGGGGTAGGAGGAGATTATTACAGGAAATAGTTCCATTTTTCTTCCTTCTTTTATTTAGGAGTTCCATGCCTGAAGTGGAGGTGCAGGTGCTTACAAGTTGCAATTAGCTGGCAGATTTACATACTAATATAGTGGTTGAAGCGCATCAGGTGTTTTGTTGGAGACAAATACAGAGACATGGAAGTCCTTAGTACAAATGGTAGCAGAGCGTCATGAACAGAGGAAACTATCCAAAGCCAAGCATATTTTGAATGATGAGAGGAATATTACCTGGAAGTACATATCAGCATTGTAAAAGCTGGTCAAAGGTAAGGAAGGAGACCTTGCTAGGGTGCAGGGTGGAAACTAAGGGAGAAAGTGTTTTAAGGGGAGTGGCCAACAGTGTCAAAGTTGCTGTGACATCAGAGAAGATGGAAACTGAGAAGTGCTGGTTGAATTTAAGCGTCAAGAGGACAAAGAGAGACCCCCAACAGAGCGCGGGCAAGCTAACATTCTCACCTTCAACTTCGCACACTGCTGGTCCAGTTCCTCTGGTGCGTGGTTCACCCCCACGTGACCATCGGTTGTATCCAAGGCGCCTTTCTGTGGGTGAGCTCCTGTGAGGGGCTCCCTCTGGCCATCAGATGCTCCCACTGAAGCCACCCAATCCAGGAGAGCATCAATCTTACTCCTGTTCTCTGCCAGTTCCTTTGCAGCTTGACTCTGAAAGGAGCAGAGGGGTCTAGTGAGAAGGGCTTGGATGCTCACCTACTGTTAGGTTACCGTTTAAGTGAAAGGGAGACATTTTTATGTGGAAGATAAATAGACACCCTGATGCTAGGTATAGACATAGTCTTTGTTTCATAAAAAAGAAATCTGTTGAAAAATAATTATTTACAGTAATCTTTAGATTTTGTCTATGTATCACTGCTCAAAAAAACCAAAACAATTTTTAAAAATGAGGGAAGGGGATGGGAGGAGTTAAAAGGACTCTATTAGGAGATGAGGTAAGGCTGCCACCAGGAGGCTTCGTGGGCCCCTTGGTACACCAAGGGACCTGCATCGGCAGGGCAGGAACAGCGCCGTGCTCTCAGTCAGCTGCTTACTCTTCCCGAAGGGGCGCACAGACTCAGCCCATCTTTTTCTTTGACAACCAGAGTACTGAGTTCCTAAACTTACTTCTTTAATTCTACCTGATTCTTTGAGTTAGTTTAATTTTAATCAAACAGGTTATGACAAATAGGACATTTACACATTTTAGGAATCATCTCTAGGTGGCCTATTTCTCTGTTCTCTGCCTCTCCTAGCAGTGTCAGGATATGACTTGAGAAAGGACTCTAGTTCAACCTGCCAGTGCTAAATGGGGTACAGAAGAAAGGCCCTTTGAGTTTTTCTCTTCTCACTGGTTTACCCCAGGATTACAGTTCCCACGGTAGCTATAGTGGCAGCTTGGGGACAGTTTGGCTACTAAGAATCCCAGCTGCTACTTCCCCAGTCGTCTGGGATCAGCAGTCTGGGTTCATGTTAGAAATATGCCATTTGTTTTTCCTTCCCCAGGTTCCTCGCCAAATTCTTTCTGACATTTTTCAATTAGTTGAGAATACTTAGTACACAGAGAGCAAGACTTTTTTTTAATAATATGAACTGCTTGCCAACTATTCCTTACTCTAAAGTTCTTTAGGATGTTTTCATTTAAAAAAACGATTCCATGCTCTCTGAAGACAGCTTTCCCGCATTACCTGTTATTTGTCTAAGTACCAAAATTTCCCTTTTCTGGAAAATGCCAAGTGTCACAGCTGCCTGCTTACCTTTTCAGTCTCCTCCTGTAAGGCTGAGGTCACGACTTCCTCCAGCTCCTTCTGGGCCACCCGAGCCTGGTCCTGGAGAGCCTCATATTGCTCCTTGGCCTGATGGAGTTTCTCCCGAAGAGCGGCCAACTCATCAGGGCTCAGCTTGCTCTGATTCTCTTCCAGGAACCCTTCAATGTCTTTGACAACACTGGCAAACGAGGCGGCATGGCTCTGCATGTCATCCTGCAGACCCTGAACACACAACAGCGGGGACAAGCGGGTCAGAGGCCAGGCCCTTTGCCCTCTAATGGTGAGGAGTGCGATAGCCAGGACCATTTCCCTGCAACAAACTCCTGTCTCAGCTGAACTGGTTCAAGTACAGCCTACACGAGTGTGAAGCATCACCTTAAGATAGGAACTTCATGACTTTTAAAATTAAGAAGTTTTCTAATATTTAATTCATTAGAAAACATTTGGTGAAAACTAAACAAAGAGTGCCCATAGATATGCTGACCACCACTCTCTACTTTGCAATGAATTATCCTCAAAGTGATCATTGTTCTCTAAAGGCGACAGGATTCTAGTTAGGTTGAAGACTGGTTCGTCTGTCATACTCTTTCCATTATCACTCTTGACCCTGAATGTTGCCACTGGGGCCCAGCTTCATCATTCACAAAGCCTCTTGATCTTTGCAGTCCAACTGAGCTCGTTTTCAGTTCTTGAGATGTTGTGCTCAATCCCATTTTTTTTTTAAAGATTTATCTATTTATTCATATGGAACTGGGGTACAGGCCAGAGATGTGGAGGGCGAGAGGATTTACCAGAGACAGAGCAGGGAGCAGAACAGGCAGATCGACGAAGTACACTGCTGAGGGGAGCAGCGGGCGGGTCAGGAGAGGTCTGCCACGCCATGTGGATCTCCTCCGGGGCAGGCGGGATCGAAATCATGCAGTAGTGGCTTTAGTTTCTTAGTGCTGTGCTTTAACCCACTGCGCCACCAGGGAGGGCCCTCAATCCCATTTTTAACTCAAGACAGAAGTCAAAGCCTCTGCCTGGCATAGTCTCTTCCTCCTCAATCCCTTCATACATTACACCTTAAAAATCCTGCACGTCTCAGTTTAAGAGGCACTTATTCAGTCATTTTCCTAACAGCCTAGACTAGATTGGATTTCTCTGTTCTAAATCCTCATATAACTTTCCCTCATACACACAACAGTTAATTATGTCCATTGTTGTAATTATCTGAATGTCTGCCCCTCTCACTAGACTGTGAGATGTCTATTTACCATTACATTGCTAGTGCACAGTAAGCTTTTATAAATATTTGTTGAAGGAATGAAAAAGTAGATGAATTCACACTAACCTTCAAGTCGCTTTGATTTTTCTGCAAAGCAGAGAGACCCTGCTGGGTGGCTCTACCCTGATGGACCACCAGTGCTCTTTTCGCCTGTTCTACCCAGCTGCAAAGATCCTCCAGTTTCTGGTGACAGGTAGTTTGCTGTTTCTGCAGGGTCTAGTTAAAATGCAAAGGGCCAAAGATAATTAATATTTCTCATTTTATAAATACAAGGTAACTCCCTGAAAAGTAAAACAGGAGGTTTTATTTCACAGATGAAAAGTTGGTGGGAGACTAGAACAGGAAAAGGCACAGAAGTCATATTCAGATAGCTCCCCTCATTGGGACAGTCTACTGATATAGGCAGACCTGTACTCTGCATTACAGTCAGGGATAAATTCAGGAGTGAATGCTCCCAGGGTTAGGTTTGGAAACACCTGTGCCAGACTGCTGCTATTATCTGTAGAAATAGAGAACAGGGAATCCAGATGCTTGAAATCCATTGATAATAGATCTGTAGGTAATGATAACAAATTAATGACTTTGTTCAATTTCTGCACCAGAATCAGAGGACATGCTACATATTTTGTCAAAATATGGAAAATTAGAAGGATGGGACGGAAGAAAAAAGTCAAGAAACTGGATAATTCATAGCTAATTGAGCTACTTAATAATTGAGTTGGCTTTATAAGTCGTTGTCTCATAAATGCATGAAATAGGATGATTACAGGCCAGGTATAGGGGCTTGGCTATTTTGAGACGTTCGGTGCCCAAGAATAGCATCTGGCTCAGTCCTTCAGAAGTCTGCACTGGTATCAAACAGGAAGAGCGAGGTCCCAGGGGAGCGCAGGAAAATGTTTCTGTGCCTGACCCTTTCCAGCTCTCATCTCTACTGCGAGACACTGAAGCACCTGGCTGAGCGATTGAGCATGATGTGTTCTCCTGACCATCCTTTTGAAACCATTTTCTACCAGTATCTACCTTCTGATGGCATTTTAGTCACCTGCACTTACAAACAGGTGCCCAAATTGGCCCTTTCTCCCCCTCTTTAGGTAGGACAAATAGAAGGGCTCTGGAAGAGAACTCCTAAGAGCTCTTCAGCTGTAAAACAGGATCTTCAGGGTTAGGATGGGTGCAGACTGAATCTGAAAAAAGCAAAGCAAACAAGTTAACACACAGACATACACATGCATTCAGGGCAAATATAGAGAGAAGCAGAGCATTTCGGACATGATTAATAAACACTGTGGAATTAATTGGCATGCTCAAAGAGAATGTTCACATGTGGTTCTATCATGTTACAGACCAGGAGCTCACCCTGTCTCTGAAGGTGGCTCAGACCAATGCTGTTGCTTTGATTAGCCAAAGGCTACCCCACGCTGTATAAATTTCCAAGAGAGGACACTCTAAATCTGATTTGGTAGGTAATCTAAAACATTTCACTAATATTTGATTTCAATTTCAACACAGTGAAACAATCAAGCAGTGATGGGTACACAGGGAACCAACTACAACTTAAATTCCTTTAAACCTGACTCAGAAGCTCAACTCTGTGTTGCACAATATTTAGTCAAGGAGACTGTGAGACATATTTGCTGGTGATAATAACAATTCTAATATCTTGCTGAATTCCAGAGAGTTATTCAACAGCAAAAAATGGCACAGAAGCATCATTCTTGGTATTCATTCTAAAGTTATACTGTTACCATTAGTATAATTATGCTGAGTTTACAGGCAAAGAATTATGGTGGAGAGTGGTAGGACAGGTAGATTTTCTTTCTTTTCAAAATGCATCACCCATGCTTCTCCACACTGTCCAAAGCTGAGTAAGTATTGGGCACAACAGGGTAAGAAGTGCTAGAAGATAGTCATTATTTAAAAGGTTAAATAATCATTAATTTGCTATTAAGAATAAATTTTGGATAATTATAAAAAAGTTAACGCAGTTCTGATAAAAATTCCTTGTCAGCTCTTTAAAGGTCTTCAAGGAATTTCATTGTTTATCACTTGAAAGGCCCCAGGATGAAACTGACTTTAGAACCATTCTTCTAAAAAGCTCAGAGTACCTAAATGTTCCTCCTGACCCTCAAAAGAATGCTGAGGGAGAGGCAGGAGGAAGAGGGGCTATGGATACAGCATCAATTGAAACTTAGATAGTGAGACACAGCGAGGGCAGTATACACATGTAAACAAACATCCGCTCCCACGCACACAGAAAACAAAAACATGGCAAGAAAACAGCCAGAACAGCTGCCTCCAAGACCAGAACCAAGCTGGCCTGAATGATAAGAAATTTCAGATTTGGTGAACGCAGGCTACTGGATTGTGACAGGGGGAGTGTGGGCAGAAAGCCCACAGACAGGGGACTTCCCAGAAGACGAACTGAGCCCGGCTGCTGGTTCCGCCTGACCTTGACCTGGGCTGCCTGCTCCGTTTGCCGAAGGCGGCCCTGCAAGGAATCCATCTGAGCGGCGGTCTGCTCCACCAGGCCCTGGAAGGACCTCTGCACGTCATTCAGAAGCCTCAGCATCTGTCGATTCTGCTGAGGGGACAAGTCTTGGGCATGCTCAGAGATAAAGAACTGAATATCGAAAGCAAGAGCATCCAGCTGAGATTTCCTTTCAGCCACAGGCAGTTTCAACTCCTAAAGTAAGAAGGGAAAGGGAAAAAAAGAAATAAGACTTCTAATTCTGTTATCAGGAGCTCTTGGCTCTAACCAGAGAGCCAACATAGTCAAAAAGGTTAAGCTCCTTTTTTTTTTATAACTGACACCAATAATTTCTAGGCCGAGCCAGCACTGAAGTATCTCTCACTTCTGGTCTCTCCAAAGTCCCCATAAATTATACTTCGATTTCCTTTACTGGGCCCTGATTTACAAATATAGGAAGCTTTTGGTTATTTATATA